GAGGGTAAGAGAAGAGGGCATTCTTCTTAGGGGAAACACTGGGAGGCCGAGGTGGGAATTGACCAGCCTGATCAACATGGCGAAACCCCATCTCTACTAAAAATACAAAATTAGCTGGGCATGGTGCTGCATGCCTGTAATCCCAGTTACTCGGGAGGCTGAGGCAGGAGAATTGGTTGAAGCTGGGAAGTGGAGGTTGCAGTGAGCCCAGATCATACCATTGCACTCCAGCCTGGGCAACAAGAGTGAAACTCCATCTCATAAAACCAAAAAAAATTATTTTTTTTAAATTTATTTTCTCAGTTGTACTAGCCACATTCAAATTTCTCAATAGCCATATGTGATTAGTAGCTACCATATTGGACAGTGCAGATATTCAATATTTTCAGCATCACAGAAAGTTCTGTTGGAAGTACTTATTTAGAACCACGAATTGATACAAAGAAAGTCAAGCTAAAAGTAACAATGAGGAAAGAGCCCTGAGAGATTGTCACGGTCAGTTCTAGTCCCCTGACCCCGTGATGACCATTGATTGTTGTCTATACTCAGAACTGGAGAGGAGAGACAGTCTGGCAGGGAGGAATGTAGGAAAAGCACTCATCATGAGCCAGGACAATATGGCTGACTGTGGGAGGTTCAAGTCTGTCTTATCTCAAGATACTCTAGTATTTTATAGATATGTAAATTATTTTATAAATGATGGGTAACTAAAAATATTCTTGAATATTTATCAAAAGTTCGTGAACCCAGGTGTTTGAAGTTTCAGTGAGCTACGATTACACCACCATACTCCAGCCTGGGTGACAGACCCTGCAGAAAAAAAGATACATCAAAAATTTGAATTCTATTCTGTTCCTCACCCCCTAAAAAAGGGCAACTTACTGTTTGAAAATGGTGTGTGGGTGGGAAGCAAGTACGTCATTACTGCTTCTCTCTTCTTTGTTTCTCTGATTTCTGGGGCAAGTATGTCAAAGAACAATCTCCCATGAAGTTGGAGAATAAGGACATTACTTAGAAATCCTGCAGTGACTCACCTTTTGAGTGTGGTTGTCTGCAAAATAAAAAGAAAAGGATTAAAAACTCCTGGGTTTTGGTCCATAATACATGAATTACACATTTCATGTAAGACTCCCATCAGTCCTTTTAGATGGGTATCACTTATCCCTTTTGTGGATGCTGAATCTTAATTATAGAAAGATAATATTGTTGAACAGTGAATTTAATTGACAATAAGATGTACCCAAAACTTGAAAATCAGGCAAAAGGACAGTTATGCTTTTTCCGATCCTGAAGTATTACCTAACAAGCCCTCTCAACTTTTATTTAATTCTCTACCAAATGCACCCTTGTTTGATTTGCTATTTACTATTGATTAAGGCGCAGACATCGAGTTACATACTAAATTGTGGATATTTGTTGAGCAGAAATGCAAAAGAGTTTTGACCAGTAGAAAAGAGACTGCAAATGCAATGCTTTTACTGCTCTGCAAGAAACTAGCCAGCTTTGCGTCTGATTTGCAGTTATTTCAGCATGCCTTTCCTGACAGACTATGTGAATTTCTGTTCCTCAAGTTCTCTTTGAACCAGCTTTACCATCTTGCTGGTTTCCTCGTTAATGATTTAAGTCATTTCTGACATACACTTTCTATACATTTTTTACAACATTCTTGTTAACTTCTTGAAAATGATACTGTGTCACCATCTACATTTGGCAACACCTAGATATGATCCCCTATTGTTCTGACACAAACAATATCTTACCATTTTATAAAGCCTCAGATTTGTTGGGTTTATTTATTTATTTACTTATTTTTTTGTACTTTAAGCTCTGGGGTACATGTGCACATCCTGCAAGATTGTTGCATAGGTACACACATGCCATGGGGGTTTGCTGTCTCTGTCCCCACTGTCGCCTACATCAGACATTTCTCCCTGTGTTATCCCTCCCCAACCTCCCCAACCTCCCCACCCGCAACTGTCCCTCCCTTCCCCTCCCACCTGCCTACCCCCATGTGTGATATTCCCCTCCCTGTGTCCATGTATTCTCATTGTTCATCACCCACCTATGAGTGAAAAACATGGTGTTTGGTTTTCTGTTCTTGTGTCAGTTTGATAAGAATAATAGTTTCCAGATTTATCCATGTCCCTACAAAGGACGTGAAATCATCCTTTTTTATGGCTGCATAGTATTCCATGCTGCATATGTGCCACATTTTCTTTGTCCAGTCTATCATTGATGGGCATTTGGGCTGGTTCCAAGTCTTTGTTATTGTAAACAGTGCCACAATGAACATACTTGTACATGTGTCTTTATAATAGAATGATTTATAGCCCTTTGGGTATATACCCAGTAATGGGATTGCTGGGTCAAATGGTATTTCTAGTTCTAGGTCCTTGAGGAATCGTCACACTGTCTTCCACAATGGTTGAACTAATTTACAATCACACCAACAGTGTAAAAGTCTTCCTATTTCTCCTCATCCTCTCCAGCATCTGTTGTCTCCAGATTTTTAACAATTGCCATTCTAAGTGGCGTGAGATGGTATCTCAATGTGGTTTTTATTTGCATTTCTCTAATAACTAGTGATAATCAGCATTTTTTCATGTTTGTTAGCCTCACAAATGTCTTCTTTTGAAAATTTTCTGTTCATATCCTTTGCCCACTTCTGAATTTTTTTTTTTTCTTGTAAATATGCTTTAGTTCTTTGTAGATTCTGGATATTATCCCTTTGGGTTTATTTTCTTAAGTAAATTCATGACATGTTAAAGCAAGACTAATCAAATAGATTTGATATGGCAGTCACTGTGGCATTGAGCCAGGTCTAACTTTTCCTTAAGGGAAGTCTGAGTTTATATGACATCAAAATAAATGACTGAAAGCCATGTGATCACAGAAACATGCAATTCTGTAGCAGGCAGGGATCTTACAGATCGTCTAATCAATCCCTTATGTTTAAGGTAAGGAGGTTGTTATCTATGGAGGGAATTGCCTTGCAGGAGGCCACATGTCAACTTGGAAGACCAGAGTTCAAAGTTATCAAATCCCAAGTTCTACTCTACTGCTGCTATTTCACGTTTCTTCTAACCGGTGAGAAATAGAATCTACAGACAATAAGAATAACTTTTTTACACCATAAGGGGACAAATCACCCTGGATAGCATTTCTATATTTCCCTATCTGCACCTGTAAAGAATAGCAGGGATATAATAAATCAGCTACAAGACATCCATCCAGAGCCTGGAGCCTGGAGGGAGGGAGGAACACCGAAGACAAGCATCCCTGGCATTGGGCCCCGGGTAGACAGCTCTGTCGCCATCGTCACAAAGCACTTTGTGAATAATAAAGCAGATCATGGGATCCTGACAAAGCCTCAGTTTCCTCATTTGAAAAGTGGAGAACTATTAGTAACTACCTAATGGGCTTTGTGTGTAACTACCTAATTTCAAGTGAGATAATGTGTTACTGTATTTATTAGAGTGCTAATCAATGAAAGTGGCTATCACTGTCATGACTATAATTATTTTCATTTAATTCCTAACATTACCACTGCTAAAATAGGTCCAGACTTGGGTGCCAACTCCATCCACTCCATCCCCTAACTCCCTTCAGAGAAACCAATGGGTATTACCTGATTAATGTTGCTATCGTCTCTGGGTTTTCAGACATACTGGTCTAGCCATGGAGAAAGCTGATTTCTAGAAAGTTAGTTCTTTCCTCAGGGAACTGTACCAGTAGGAAAGTCGCAAGACAAATGATGAAGGAAGCATAATTTCTTTGTATTTACTTTTTCTGAAAGGAAACATTCTTAACAGAAACCTGCAACTCAGAAAGAGAAGGTTAACAAAAAGAAACTAATACATAGCTAAAGAAATACCTTATGTTACTTTGGGGGCACAGATGCTACAGACAGATACCTTTGGCAGATGACAAGATTCAGGTTTGTCAGGGAATATGAGAAGTGAACGTAGTAGTTCACCTTTGAAAGGCATTCCGTGAAGGTCATGTTAAGTTCCTCAGTTGGAAACTTTTTTCCTGTGTTGTATTCACAGACCTCAGATAATTTATTTTAGGTTCATTTATTTACTTATTTTACTTCTTATTTTTATGGTCAGAACTTTGAGTTTTGATGGTCCATTGGAATTGATCAAGAGATCCACGCAATTGCAAAAGACAGGAGGCTCTTTACTGTCACGAAGTAAGGGCATGATGGCTTGGTCTTCCTGGCAAACCTAGTCCACAGTAAGTTATTGCCCAACAAGCTGTGTTCTCAGAGCCCAGGGAATCCCTCAGGTGTCCTGGCCTGGTGGGATGGATGAGCTTGTGCCAGGAGGCTAGCAGAAGAGAAATCGGCAACGAGAGGAAGAAGAATGGATCCAATTCTTGGCTGATCAGGAAAAGGTCTAATTTGTTCGATCAAGAAGTATCAAGTCCAAAGGAACTTGCATTTGTTTCCCTAATAATAAAAAATTACATGCAGAGAAGCAGCTCTTGAGACTGCCTACAACACTGTATGTGGTCAATTTAACCAGACATAGATAGAGAGTAAGGATGTTCATCATCTGTACATTGTTAGGCTGAGCCCTGGAAAAGGCTTAGGAAAGGCAGGGTGGTGAACGAGAAGACAAGACGACAGGGCTTTGGAGACAGACTGTGTTCCCACTCTGCCACTTGCCAGCTCTGGGTCACTGAGGAAATAAGTTTCTAGGATTTTCATCTGTTAAACAGTCTTAATAATATCCAAATGAAAGATCAAATAAAAGGATACTTGTGAAAAAATTATAAAGTTATGTATCCCATGCAGAAAGTTCTGTTGGTTGATACAATGAAGTGGGCTTCTACCAAAGCTTGAGAAGAATCAAGGGATATGTTTGTCTGGTGACATCATCACTGGAAACAGCAATAGCTTTCCATAAGCCCTGCAGTGCCAGGCAGCAAGGACATTGATCTGTCCCAAAGCAGCAATATTCATATTCCACATACTTTCTGTTAAAAGATTTCTGGAGCTCACTTCGGCAGCACATATACTAACATTGGAACAATACACAGAAGATTAGCATTTGCCCCTGAGCAAAGATGACAGGAAAATTCATGAAGCCCCGTTCATAAATCTAAAACATTTTTAAGAAAGGTTACTGCAATGCACTGCAAGGATAGTATATTAAAAATAAAAATAAGTGGATCTCAGTATACATGTCATAAAGGTTTATGAGGGAAGCAAGGATTTTGAGGGAAGAAAGCTGTAGTGCTTTACTCATTTTGTAAAAAAATTATACTCAGACACTTCTGGAAATGATGTCTAATGAGGACATTTTCTTGTGAAGTAGCAGAAAAACTTTCCTTTCTTATCCATAATCAGGAGCAGACCTGGAATAACAACTGAGCTTCTTCAGTATCAAGTTCAATGTTTCATCCATAAGAACCAGCTTTTTCTTGAGAAGGGCATTCCCAATATTTCCTATCCTTATTTTGTTCTAATTTCTGATGAATTTTACCGCAGTAGAGTAGTGAAACTTGCTGACTATAGACAGAGATGATTTCAGCAGGAGTTACAGAATTTAGCCTAGAGAAAAACCGAGCTGAGAAGAGAAAAATCCTGTTAGGACTATTTTCTTCATTCCTGTATGGCTGAGGCTGGGCCTTCCTGGCAGCACAGCACATCCTTGATGACTTTGTCCAGTTGAGTTTTAAATAATTGAAGTGATTGGCCTCCTATTTTATCTCCTAGGAACTCATTCCATCCCAGAAAGGAGCAGACTCTTAGGAAGTATTTCTTGACATAACGTTATTGTGTATGAGTTCTTCATACATTTTCTCCTATTCAAAGAAATAAATATGAATGAAAGCAAGGAAGCCAAAAAGGAAGGAAGAAGGGAAGGATGTGGGATGGGGGAGGGAGGGAGGTGGGGAAGAGGAGGAGGGAGGGAAGGAAATAAGTGATGGAGGTGAAATAGGGGATAAGGTGGGGTTGTTGGCTGATAGGAGAAGGGCAAGGAGGCAGAGAATCAAACACACTAAAAGAAAGAACTGGTTGGTGTGGGGAAGGGGAGACAAAACACTAAAAGAAAGAACTGTTTGGAGGAGGGGTATGGACATCCCTCGGAACGAATTTAAGGAGGCAGCATCAGTCCAAAATCAACAGTAAATCTTCTTCCTAATTTCTACCTCTCTCTGAACCTGAAGACATTGATCTTAAGACTCAATGGATTTGGTCAATTCTACAGTTGTTAACCTTAATCCATTTACAAATGAATCCATAGCAATCCATGTTAATGTACACAAAAAAGCCTACGTACCAGGCCCGAGGAGGAATGTGGAGTAAGGGTGAGAGAGGCAGCTTAACTTTCCCCCACTTAGGGACTTAGATGTTGCTTTTCCACAGATCACCACCAACCTCCATAGACATCGAGTTTACACGCCTTTGTGTCCATCTACTTTTGAACTTTGTGTTCTAAAGGGAATGCATGCCTGAGGGAATTAAGAAGTGGGTAGAGAGGACTATAGATCACAAGGGGAAATCCAGTGTCCAGGGCCATATTCTTCCCAACCCGTCTGTAAAGATCAAGGGCAGAGTTCCCCGATGAGTGCCAGGAAGATAAACTCTTATGATTCTGTTGGAAAAAAAGATACCCAAAAATGGGATCAATTTTTATGTCAGTGTTTCTTCACATTAGCCAAGAGCAGGTATGTTTTAACCAGAATCAAGCTCAGTTCCACTTAACATGCATCTAATGCCACGGCTTTGGACCATCGTGACATCTCTTATCTGCATCCTGTTTTACTGCACACCCCCTACAAGGACTATCTGTGTTCTCAAAACAAAATTCTAAATCCTCAACACTGAGCACCAGGCCCTGCCTGATCTGGCCTTTGTTCGTCTTTCCAGCCTTGCCTCTGGCCACCTTCCCTGCTTCAGGTCCACACTGGCCATCATCAGCCTTCTAAAGGGTGGCACGCACCTCCTCTGTGCCTTGGGGGCTTCACCATGCACAGCCCCCTCGGCTTTTACTGCCACCTCTGATATCCTCCTGATTCATCCCCACTCACCCCTCATACCACCTTAATTATTCCATCTTCAGGGAAAGTTTCTCTGACCACCCTGACTCCCAGGCTAGGTCAGGTCCTGTAGTGAGCCCTCACAGTAATTTATATCTGGGGCAGGAATAATTATTACTTTTTAAATTTTTACATTCATGGGTACACGTGCAGGTTTGGTACATAAGTACATTTGTGTCATGGGGGTTTGTTCTACAGATTATCTCATCAACCAGTTATTAAACCTAGTACCCATTAGTTATGTTTCTGATCCTCTCCCTCTTCCCACCCTCTACCCTCCAAAAGGTCCCAGTGTGTGTTGTTCCCCCCAAGTGTCCATATGTTCTCATTATTTAGCTTATAAGCGAGAACATGCGGTATTTGGTTTTCTGTTCCTGCATTAGTTTGCTAAGAACAATGGCCTCCAGCTCTATTTATATACCTGCAAAGGACATGATCTCATTTTTTTTATGGTGGCATAGTATTTCATGGTATATATGTCCCACATTTTATTTATCCAGTCTATCATTAATGGGCATTTAGGCTGACTCCATGTCTTTGCTATTGTGAATAGCAGAGCAGGTATAACTAAACACATAACCACATGGTTCACAGGAAAGGGAATCCACCTCCCTGGACTGTAAACTCCAGGAGGACAAACACCCAGTCTGCTTTGCTTACCTTATCTACAGGTCCTACTAGTGCCTTGTGTACACTGGAAACTTACCCTTTTCTGCAAGAAAAATGGCAGTGTAGGTTACAGCCCACACTTAGAAACAGGCCTGTCTATATACAGCAAGGTATGACCCCTAGGATGCAGAGGTGTGTGATAGTTGTTCAAAGTGAATAAAACAAAATCTATTGTTATCTGTTCTTTAAGTGGAGTAAAAGAAGCTTTCCCAACTGGAAGCGAGTTTGTTGCCAGCTCAGGTTATCAAAGCAACCCTCCAAGGGCCTCCCAGGTACCTACTGGTGGGTTGCCGGGTTTAGTGAACACATGGTCAGGGACACATATCTCCTCAAAATAATTAGCCACCTCCTGGGCACTCTATCCATTTTCCTATTATACTTTCCTCAACCTCTTAGAATGCATTACTTTTCTGATTTACATTGTTAATCCACTGAGAAGAGAACACATCTTTGTTTTCTACAACAGCCTGCACAGTTAAATAATGCTTATGATAATATTTAAGGATAACAATCATAGAATATGTCTGGGGAAAATTAAGACGATATTAAAGTATCTTTTTTCCCTTACATAGTAAAGAGTTAATTGTGATAGTTAAAGCTAAGTTACAAATGAGCAAGAAGAGTGAAGAGATTGAACAGCATTACTAGACACACACAAATCATCAATTATCCAGAAGCTGTATCAGCCCAAGACACAAGTACAGGCAACTGACAAATAGCCCAGTGACTACAGGAACCACTAAAACACGTGAAAAATTCAGCACATTCAGGAGAAAGAGATAGTTCCAGAGGGCTCTTCAGGGAACAGAATCTTGATGATTTGGACAAGCGGGAATGAACAGCATTAAGAGCCCTGAGAGGAAGACGTGAGCCTGAAAGGATTGTAAGGAGGTCCACACCACCATCATCACTGCATCCTGTTAAGGTTGAGTTGGGAAAGGAACTTCCCACACAGTCTCAGCTGGTGCCGGGGACACAGGAGGGAGCACAGAAGCAGTAGCTCACATTCCCAACTTTTCTGTAAGTCCTGTCATGAACACAAAAAGATCAAAAGCAGATGATATACTACAAAGGTCAAAATTAATCTGCTGTGCTTCAGACCCATAGGCCCAAGAGGAAGTGGGCATGAAGAGGGAGATCATCAGGACCTCACCTTCTTTGTAAAACCCTCTTTCACTGCCAGTCAGGAGTCTCTTCTAACCCTGACTGCTCCTGCTCTCATGCCTGTTTCACCCACCTGGCACCAAGGTTTTGGTATTTCTTTTTTTTTTTTTTGAGACGGAGTTTCGCGCTTTTTACCAGGCTGGAGTGCAATGGCGCGATCTCGGCTCACTGCAACCTCTGCCTCCTGGGTTCAGGCAATTCTCCTGCCTCAGCCTCCTGAGTAGCTGGGATTACAGGAACGCACCACCATGCCCAGCTGCTTTTCTGTATTTTTAGTAGAGACGGGGTTTCACCATGTTGACCAGGATGGTCTCGATCTCTTGACCTCGTGATCCACCCGCCTCAGCCTCCCAAAGTGCTGGGATTACAGGCGTGAGCCACCATGCCCAGCCGGTTTTGATATTTCTAGTGATCAGTATCCTTAGCATGGAGTTGCCTTGTCTCTCCAGGTAGAACCCAGAAACTGTGGTCTGTCTCTTGCCACTGTCTTGCTTGGTCACCTCCACTCATGGAACAGAAGTGGCTGCTGAACAAATCTTACAGCTGAAAATGGTCTTGCTCTTAATCCAAGTCACACATGTAGAAATCATCAGGCCCATCCCACCAATCTCTCTTGATATTGTTTAGTTCTAATGCTGACCTACTAACTAAATGGCTGAACATTTTCAGGCCTGGCTGTTTATTGCAGACATCCTCCAGTGAAACATGAAAGAGGGCACAGCATGCTTCTTGTGGAACCAACTACAATGGTGGAATGTTCTTTCCTTCTCTGCTTTGAACACTGTATATTTGCAATGCAGGAGGCTGAGCTTCGTTCTCTGCTGTATTCTTTAATTAGTCTGGTTTCTGGGTGGTGGTGGTGATGTCCTGGTGCTTGTTCTTAGAGGCTATGCTATGTGAATGACCTGTGAGGGCTCTTGTGTTTCCTTATTGGAATCTTGGTAGATTCTTCAAAGAAGGTTGTTTTTTAAGGATGTCTGGGCTGCATGGAATTGTTTAGTTCTTACTTTTCTCTAAAATGCATCTGTAATTTGATCTGCCCTGACCTACAGTGATTAAAACTCGAGTATGTAATCTTGAACCAAGATAAAATGAGAAAGAGAAATTGGACCTTTTTAAATTTACTTTATTAAAAAGTTAGCAGGAAGACAACCCAGTGAAAATTATTACATCTTTAATGTCAGCTATTAGGTAGGATAAGAGAATGGAAATGGACTGGAAT